AAGCATATCAAAATGATGAACAACAAATTTTGATAACAATTATCTACCATGAAATTCGACAAAAAACTACAAGCATATTATATTTTTATCGGAGATTAAATTTGATATAAGGAATTTCCACATCCTCTTCATCTTTATTATTCGCTATTACTTCCAATACAATTGAGTGTACGTGGTCCGGAATTTTTTTCTTGGTTACTTCTTCCACAACTTCTTGCATGCTAGAAATTTCAGAGTTAAAAAAGGATCTACAACTGCAGCGGAATGCTTCTCCAAATTTTTGCAACGAATATAAAGCATGTAAATAATTTCATAAAGTTATTTATGCCCTATAAGTACAATACGGTGTGAAATCCAAAACTTGAAAACTAAACAAGGCAAAGAAGAACAAGACCATTGCAATATTAACTTTCTTAATTTCATGATAATTCTTACTCTTGCTCCAAACGCTCCATTTTTTTGTCATGGTTTAAGAAAAAGCTATATATAAGTGATACACCACAAGACATCATTGTTACATCAAGTCCAGTTTCTTCCTGAATTGCAAAATTGAAAGATGTTAACAGTTATTCAATTCTCAAGTGGAGTATGGAATTTATATCGACATGCTAATAGAAAAAGGAATGAAATCAAACGATGCTCTAATTTTGGAACAGAAACTGCTTAAAAAGTCAAATACTCACTTTAAATAAAGACTTAATCAGAACGGTAACTGTAAGGAATTGAAACTAAAATTTCTCGAAATAAATATTTGAAACTTACTTTGACCCACTGAATTATTTCCTTCATTTTCTTTGGCCCTTGTATTTCAAATCGATCCCAAAGAGTGAAATTTGCTTCCGAATACTATAACAAAATAAGGTGTAAAGTTTTTTAAAAATAAAAACATAAGTCTGAATACTGAAAACAGAACGCCAAAAGCAAGACCTTGAATACAACCTTCTTTTTCGGCGCAGCTATTGGTTCTGAAAATCCAAAAAATGGTAGTGCCAAATTTAAAAAGCCATTTTTGAACGAACTCAGCGGAACAGGTAATAGTTTCTGCCCATCTCCAACAATTTTGTACAACTCTATGGCTACTAATCCAGCTATAGCAGCTGTTGCTGTCGCTATAGCCGGGATAATACGACCAGCAATTTGCTTTGTCTGAAACAGTTTTTAGTATTACCAAAAAACACAAAAAAGCTGAATTGAATTTAAAAAGAAATTTCTTTCTGGATAAACGAGCAGTTACTATCATCATGAACAATTTTGAAATCATATCTCAAACTTACTCTCATAACATCTACTGGCGTAATTTCGTAATTTTGAGCTCGCAAATTTGAAGCAGCAGTTATAAATTCCATATGATGATTGCTATCATCGTCCTTCTCAAAATCAATTGGTGTCAATGGAACCATAACCCTCTTATCCAGTTTAGCCAAGCTCATCATAACAGCCTGTAGTTTTTCTTCGGAATAATCTGCAATTCACACCATTATTATTTTATAAAAGAAAATCAAATAAAATGAAAATCTTATGCTGTTAAAGACAATGCCTTACGAAACATAGAGAAGACCTTACCATCATCTTTTTCTTCTAATTTTGCTTCAGCTTCAGTTACAGCTATTTTTACATCCGATCTCGGAGTGAAAGGCGGCAAATGAATCTAAAAACAAAATCAACCACGTTAAAAAATCAATGCTCGATGTGACACTTCAAAGTGATCAACTTAATCTTAACTAACCGTCTCTAACACAGCCAAAAACTTCTTCGTGTCTGTAATAGGTGTGATACCGTACTGCTGTGCTCGCAAAATAGAGGCAGCCCAAACGAAATTAAAATGTTCGGTCTGAAATATGTATCGAATGATACAAAATTTTTAAAAAGAATTACATGTCTCACTACACAAAAAATGTATATCAATAAAAGCCAGAGAAATATAACGTTATTAAGACTGACCCAATTTCAATCTGCTGGGTAAAAAAAAATTTACTTCATTTTGATTGAAATCCAAAACATGTGGACACCGCTTACTGCCTGACCAAAACTTAACTCCCTGTTCAGTCACCTGATCAGAAGGAAACATGTATAACAACTGTGCAATGGCATTGTGGAAGAATTCCTGAAACATTACATGAAAAAAGCTCGAATTTTCGATCACAAAAAATTTTTAAATCCAACCTAAAAACTGAAAAGTTTACGGACCTGAAAATTTTTCCTTGCCCAAATTATGCAATCCTCTGGTCTATTCGGTCTTTCAAGGATTAAAGTTTCTTCTACTTTCGATAATATATGTAGCTGAAAAAATTGGTTTGAAAATCCATAAACGACAGATTTAACAGTAAATTTCAATTAATACTTCGAAAAAATTCGTTTATCCTATAATGATTTTAACTCACACGCTGTGTTGTATTCATCTGATCAACTCGCTGTAAGAAACTTCGTTCATCAGAAATAAACTGATTCGCAAGTTCAGCTGGATTTGTGAACAAACCCTCAAATAAATCTCTTGCCCACTGAATAGTGTGCTGAATTTCGTTAGGAAAATTTTTTAGCGTGCAAATTGGAATGTCTTTTTCCGGAGGATCAACTGATGAGCTATAAAAGAAGTAACAGTGAAAACTACTACAAAAATTATGTCTCCTACAGAAAAAATCAAATGATAAATTGACTTAAACATGTTTTAAAGTAATGTCAAACTTAGGATGAAAACTGGTTGAGAAATCAAATGACTAAAGGAAACTGGCGAAAAATTATAGCTACTGATATATGTAATTCACCTGTAAGATTCAGTTAGATGGGGATAAATCACTTGAGTGTTACCTTTTGTACCCATAGTACCAGACTCAAGGAGTGGTAAACGATAATAAATGCAGCGTCGATCCATGTAACGTCCTAAAATAAAAACTGAAATCTGTAAAATATAAAGGATGAAATGCGTCAACGAGAAATTCAATCACTGTAGGAGACATGGAAAACAAAATTATTACTGCATGAAAACAAAACCTAATTACACACTACGAAAATTTTTAAAAAACTAAGCAAAACTTGCGTGCATCAACATTGTCTAATGCATTCAATACACCGTTGAGATCGTTGAAAAAACTATCGCTGAAAATGTTCTCTGTGTCCGCTCCGACACGTTCGGCCAAAGCTTCAATTCTGATTTTAGGATTGAAATTTTTAACTGCTTTAGCAGCCACCTCAGATTTCTTGCTCTGAAACGATACCACTATATAATCTGCTAAAATTTGTCAGCTAATGAGATATAAACTGATGAGTTTATTAATTTGTGAGCGATATATTCAAAGTTTATTAAAACGCAGATAAATTTTGCACATTTGTAAGTACTTACGCCAACATCATTCCTTCTAAACAAGAACTGCCGATTAAGATTGCTGATTTCAATTTGATCCATGTCTGTTATTTTTAGCTTTCCGTCAGCACCACATGCCACACCCATCATGGCCAAATTTTTTAGTAATTCACATCCAATTGCACCTTAAAAATTGGAGAAAAAAAATCAGACAAGAATTTTTTTCCGAAACATTTGTGAATGCCAAAAAATTTTTGAAAATTTTAAACATAAGGACAGACCTGCACCAACTACAAAATATTTTTGTTTGAAGAGCGCATTCTGGTAATCTTGCCCCAAAACAACAACCTGCCCATCATAACGGCAATTTTTCTGCAATTTAATATAAAAAGTGTGGATTCGACAATTACCACTTATATTTTTCGTAATAAAGGCAAACAATGAGTAGCCAGTATTTTTAACGCGACTGCGCCATTAATAGCACTAATAGAATTACAACTACTGTTAATACGCTAAATCATTTTTAATCGGATGCAAGGTCTGAGAACCTGATCTTATTTTCAAAATGCAGCGTAGAATATACAAACCAAAAGACACATGAAATGAAAAGTGTTTGAAAAAATCTGCATCAAAAATTACAATTCTGCAGTCACTAGCTGTCAATTTTTCATTATCGAAGGGCGACCATGTACCAGGTAAAGCTTCGATACAATCAATGTAAAGAAATTGTTTTAAGGGAGTCATATGATGTGTAACTGCTTTCATTGCTTCCTGTGCAGCGATCCCACCAACAATTGAAGCAATGGGAGCAAGGTTACCACAAGCCTTAATAAAATAATGCGTTTTTTAGAAACTTGATACTCCTCTAAGATTATCACAAATTTTTGGTAATAAAGCGCTTAGAGATCGCTTTAAAATCTGAAAATACCTGTGACACCGCTAACCTGTATAAATTCAAGAAAAACTCTAATTCTGAAATTATGATAAAAGTAAAATTATTACAGATTTTATTTAGTGTAAAAAGCACTAAAATAACGATACAAGAAATTTTAGGAAACTATTGAAGAAAACTACATTAAAGCCTGTTCTGCAGACTTTCATGAGGTTTAATGCATTTTCTAAAAGTTTTATGTGAAGAATACAGATACATAAAAAAAACTGAAAAACCTGGTAGCTAAACATTTTCAATAACTTTTCATTCACTTTGATAGTATTCGGAAGTTCAAGTTTTAGAAGATTGACATCTATATCATTCCTCGGCGAAGGGCACCGTTTATGCTAAACATGCATTTATTTTCATACACATCGTGAAAATGGAAAGTTTGTCAATAGCAATGTATATACTTTTATAAATAATAAAGAAAACCTTGTCTTCAAATGCATATAGCGCTTGCCACAGAGAATGAAGCTGAGGAGGATGATCAAACTTTGCAAAATCCCAAATCAAAAAGTCAGGATCTTTCAATGATTGCAATAGTGACTTGTGTGAAATCGTTATAGGCACTTTTACTTGCGTGAAACGTCCACCTTCAAGATATGGCGAAAAATTGGCAGCAACATCTCCAATGTTGAAGACATTAGGCTCTAGAATTTAGCTCATAACTAAAAACATTTGCAAAAATCGTTATGAATCAAAGATTATCTCAGAAAAATAATTCTAAAAAACAGTATAAGACAAAAACAGAATTTGTCATTCAGTAACCTGCATATTCAGTAAATGTGCACAAAAATGAATAAGACAAAAATCATAATAAACTGACTTTTCACTGTTATTTTGAGTGGTTTGATCCCATTCAATTCTGTCATCCCCTTAACTTCTGAAAAAGTAACATGATCTCCATCTTCAAGACCGTGAAACACATTGTCTAGAGTAGTTACGTCTCCTGTCTCAGCATCTATGTGTTCAATCAGCAACTAAAAGAAATTAGGCCGATGAAATTAGAACAAACATGGACAAAGGAATAAATTACATCAGCAGAGTAAACTTACTTCTCGACACTGCTCTCCATTTTGATCATCAATCTTGAAATTGTTGCCCACATCAACAAATATGAAAGCGAAAAGTCCGCGAGCATCAGCAGCTATGAAACGACGATTATGCTTACGAGTCCACTCATTTACTTTGAGCTGAGTAGTTAATGTTGCATCAGTAAGCACTGTTAGCTGAAATGAAATAGATCACAAATTTTCAAAGTTAGTGACAAAAAGTTTTTGTGGCGAGTAATTCTAGAAAAACATACAATTTCGTGAAAGAAAAATCTTCAGCATGGTCCTGAGGTTCAAAAATCAAGTAAGCCATGACAAATTGATTGCATACTTCAAACAAAAAAAAGTAGATTCATGTATTACATTAAAGAACACATTCTCAAATACCATCTATTTCAAATGAAAAAAAATGCATACATCGAACTGTTTAACCAAATTTTCACTTAGTGGTTCTTTGGATAGATGACACGAAACACTATCATTCAACTCTGCCAAACGTTCAAAGCTTGCTTCACCTCGATTGCGGCCAATATCCGATTCTTTGAGATAATACTGTAATGATAAAATGAAGAGCACAAAAAGTCCATTTCCATTTAAGTTAAATGCCATTTAGATTTGATAGTATTGGTTCCTTGTCATACATTAAGAAGTCTCCTTTAAATGACTTCACTAATCCAACAAACACCCATTATTATAGCAATTTTAGAAATAAACAATAGTAAATTTCTATCTTTATTCCCTGCACCAACTCCTATGAGGATAATCTAGCGCAACATGTGTCAGTATTCTTGAATAATAAACCTGTGCACTAAGATCTAGCCATTTAGCGTCTTGCACATCATGAATTGTTACTTGACGCACACCACCAAGAATTAAATTTTTTGCGATTTCTACACCAACTGATCCAATGCCTGATATCAGTACAGATGACTTTCTTAAATGTATCATTGCTGATTCTCCCAAGGCATAGCTAAAATCAGAAGTCCAAGAAAATTAAAAGGAAGATAAAATGAAGACCAAGAAAGTTTTTGTAGCAGTTACAAAAACTGCAATAAAGTAACTCTTTTGCTACAGGAAGCATGAAATGCAAAAATTGACTCACATTTGTCGCGAATAAAGATTCTTATCCAAGATACCAATACCATTATCGATCACACCATTTTCAGTGTTAAAATTCATCTCTGAGTTTTCGCTTGATGAACCGATTTGATGCTAAAAAAATCTCCGAAAAAATGTGCAATCATTGAAACGTTCAAACTAAAAAATCTTAACGGTTCCTTTGGATTAATATTAATCAAATTATTTTCTACAACGATAAATGTGGTAATCTTGCTGCTCAGTAATGGACGTTTTTCTTCCAAAGCAAAACATAATTACAAGCAGAATTTACAAAATTTCTTGGATTATTTTCCTAGCAAAATCATAGATATGTAAGTAAAAAGAAACAGAGGAAAGTACGATTCGTATTTACATGACTACATTGTTACTCACTTCCTACAGTGCTTAAAAACTAGCCCAGTATAAAGGGGGTTAAGAACAGCGATGTGACTCATATTAAAAAGATTGTGTTTTCCTATCATGTTTGTGTTGTGAGACATATTGGATACAAAAAAGTTATTACATTCACAGTAGTGCACGGTTATTACAATATAACAATAACCATGTACTACTGTCAAAAATATTTACCTCTGAATATACCCTGAGCATTATTAATTTCTAAAGATTTAAAATAAAACATCAGACAAGTGGTGCTAAAATATAGATACTACTACAAACAAATTAGCACAGACATTCTCTCTGCCTTCATTTGCAGTTAGACTCCGGTTCTAACTGTAATAAGAATGGAAGTGTTGCATGAAACTGACACCTTAACGATTCGAAAAATTGCATTCATAATGATATTTAAGATAGTAACACAATTTTTTTTCTTTCTTCTTAAAGCAAGAATTATAGTTGATTTTCGCAATTCAAACTGTTTAAGGCAGTTTGGTTCGTTTAAGCGATACCTGTTGTAATTTTGAAACGAAAAAGTGCAACTTAAAATTGGGCTCCTCACAATTGCAAAAAATAACTCCAAAAATTGACCTACATTCAGCGACAATTAGAAAGTTAATACAGCACGGGAATGTGTAATGATAAAGTAGACTTCAGTTACGAATCCACAATATTATCTACTGTTCAGAATTTACGCACAACAATGTGTGTAATCGATTACAACAATCTACGACAGTTATTTTGTCACAGATACGACTTAAATATACCAGAGCTATAAGTGAAAGCAAAATGACTCATATTTTCAGAATAATATTGATGATCTTGCCAATCAAAAAAAGCTGGACAAGAACTATCAAAAAGGTATTAAATCACCTTGCAGTGCACTATGATAATTCTGAACAAAATTAAACACCTGTGTAATGAACGAAACTAACAAACGTTGACTAAAGAATAAATAATAAGTATAAACAAATTTCTAATAGCAAATATACTGATGAAACAGATAAACGCATGAATTTGAATAAATTTGATTGTATTTCGATAGTGGTTAATTCATGAAGCAATTACTAATAATTAAGTCGACTTAGAAGTGGTGGACTTTTTTAAATAAGAAAAAAAATCGAATAAACTAATATCAATTAATAAATTAATTTGACAGTATTTGATATATAATTGAAATGTAATAAAGCAGGAAATTATACTGCTAAAGCACTTCCATTACTTCAATTTCTCGAATAGCTTCTTGATTTTAGAGACATGATAATATCATGACCACTACTTGCAACCAGATGAACTGATTAACTAACACGATCCAGATTTTTCGTAAAATGAAGAATGAGACAGACAATATTGAGAATATTCTTTTTTCGACTGACAAACATTTTGAAAAATCAAAGAAAAACTACATTACAAGGCAGTTTCCTAAAGATTAGTCATACCTAAAGTAATTAACAATGCTGAAAATTTTGTAGGGGAGAATTTTACACCACCTAAAGAGAAAAATATTCTGCTCAGTATGGCAATTTCGGAAAAATTTATATTCATGCCTGGAAAATTTCAATAAAGAACTCTACAAGAAAGATAATGGTAAAGAACCAAAGTATGATTAAGGCTTCACAAATGGTCAAAGAGACATCGTTGTTCATACTTTATACTTTGTGATAGTATGAACAACGGATAAATATTTTTCGATAATGTGACATCATACATCTCGGATTTCATTAAAATAAATTTAAAATAATAAAATGAATAAAGTCATGTGAGAAACCCTAGAAAAAGTGCAAAGAATTCAATACAGCATATTAGCTTTTACATATTTGGGTTTCTGCCATCAGTTCAGGCATTAAGATGACTTACAATGGCAATGTTTTCCGTATTGGTACCAGTCAGTTTATAGTCTGCAAACATCCAACAATGCACACTGTGACACGGTAGATCGACTCTGAATTTGGGAAGAAAGACTTCCATTGACTTTGCATAAAGAGTTGCAAAGAAAAGGAAAAAATCAGGACAAAAAATTCGTCCCCAATTTCGGCATGTCAAAATTTTATTCAACATTTTATTAAGTTCGTTTAACTCGCATTTCAAATTATTAAGCAATAGAGCAACCGCAAAACAGAGTCCAAGATCACAAAAAACTTCCTATATAGCTATATCTGAATAAAACTTTGAAGGTTCGTTAAAAGGTTTACCTGCTCAATCTTTGGCCGTTTAATGGCTGGTTCAAGCGAAATGATTTCTTTCTTCGTTTCACCTAAAGGTGCACCCGAACTCATCAAGTCTTTAAAAGTTATCTGAAATGCACATGATATTTGCAACATTCAGCAACTCAGTAATAGCTTTCTCACGATATAACGGTCTACTTTAAAAGTATTGTTCCAGATCAGAAGTAGTAGGAAGCTGTACAATCTAGATCCATCATATCGTCTAAATAAATTTCATTAATACTACAGTGATAAAATTTATTCCTTAAATCGAAAAATAATATACGTTGTGCTTTTTAATCCACTATTGCACAACTGGTTTTACAATCAATAAAACTGGAATAAATCAATGAAAATCCACCCCATTAGCTTTGGCATCAAAACTACGAGATACAAACATCCTAACTTTATTCTTTTGTGATATGACACGTATAGCAGCGCAGTCATTTCAAATAAATATTGGAAACAGACCTAAGTTGAACGTTTTTGTCCGCGTTTGATTACGTCCGCGAACAATGCACACTGCTCAAGAATCGATGATAAACAATCTGCAAAAATTATCACTTTTTCAGCCGAATACTTTTTAAGCACAAGCGCAAGGTATTTCACGTGTTGAACACAGCCAATATATTTGCATATATCTCGACTTCCAGACAGTACTCTTAAGATTTTACGATATTCCTGACCTCACACTACTGTAGCCTACAGGACACCCTGTAAAATGAAATGCACTACTCAGACACAGTTGCGCATCATAAAATCGTTACTGCATCACTTTTCTACTGCTTTGAAAACTATCGCTGTAAAACTAGTCCTAGATTTACAGCTGCAAATATTTTGCAAAACAATTTGAAAATTTGTGATAAGATTCTCCTCATATGACAGTTGGTGTTTACGGAGTAGTTTTAATTAAAAAGTACTTTTGCCATTGTGAAAAGAAAATTATATTTGAATTACTGTAAAATTCATTTCAGGTTAATGTTGTAATTAGAAACGTGAGAGCAGATAGCTAATTTTTGGCACTTCTTTACTGTTAGTGTCACAGTGCATCAAAATAAGTTTCATGAGCACTGGAAACAAGAATCATTACAGTAACAATTATATGAGAAACTTGTATGGAAAATAATTGAAGAAGTTATCAGAATATGTTTTTCTCACACACTAATTTGCGCATTTAGTTTAGCACGAGAACGCAAAAGTAAGTAAAGAATGATCGCTAAGTAGCAAAGAGAGCAAGTTGAGTAATGGTCAAACTGACTTTTGCTCCAAATTTCAAATGGCACAATTTCTAACCTTTGTGATATGAATACATTGCTACTGACAGTTGTTTGCATCTTACATTTGACCTCATTAATACAACATTTATTAAGATACTAATGTGACCTATGACTTATAACTGACTTATTTTTTATCGGAAGTTTACCAGAGATGTTTTCAAGAATGGTAAATGGATTTAACACTGTCTCATTGAAAAATCACAAATTTGAATAGTATTTAAAACAATTCGATTCAAAGGAGCGTTTATTATTTGATTTATGGAATTTTTTCGCGGAATGCATTTGGTTTTACAAAAAATGCAAATTTTAAAAGCCATAAAATAAAATTGAACAAATCGATAAAAAGAGAGCAACTGCTGGTCACTTTTGAGATGTATTCGAGCAGAAAGGTTTAAATTTTCAGAGCACAAAATATTATTTAGAAGGCATTCGTTTGGAAAGCAAACAGAAATTATTATTACTTAAATTTGAAAGAAAGTGGGGAGAGTCTGCTTGTTTCACCTTCACCGCCTAGCAACACAACAGCCACTGAGAAAAAAATAGAATAATCAATCGCGAATTTTCAATTTAGTGAGAGTTGTCACTTTCCTTGACACGGACTGCGTGCAGCTGTACAGCGCGTGAGTATGCGTAAATTCCTTCTCCACAAACACTCACAGTGCCGTTAGCTTCGATCCACGCCGTACCTGCATGAACTTTCTGATTCTTTGCTAAATGACATCTGTAAATTTCAGTGATAACAATCTCTCGGACAACTTATGGGATGGGATGTACAACAATTTTTCTGAGACAACATTTGATACTTTTGAAAACACACAATCCACACTAAAATTAATTCCATTTCTTTCCTGATTGTACATAACCAATGCTCATACAAGTTAAAAAGTGACGTTTCTTAAATCAAATGATTCAGTACTTATTCATTTCCACTTCTGTTTCAATACTCGGGCAATTTTTTCCCTTTCCATTCTTTTTATGAATCTCAGAAAGGCTAAATTAGCACAAGCAGATCAATAATTAGGTGTAGTAGATATGCACAGTAATCTCACAGTAATCTCTAATTGGCATGTCGTC